GTTGTTGCGCGTGTCGGAGGAGCCGGCACGAGCAAGGACGCGGAAGAGGACTTCGGCCGCGCCCTCTCCTTCCTCTTCCCCGGCCCGAGGCCGGAGAGATTACTCCCGCGCCGTCGGCCTCTTGTCACAGCGCCCCGACCCGCATGGTAGTGCCTCCCTCCGTTCTTCCTCCTCGCTCCATCTCCTCCCCCTAGCTTTCGGTAGTAGCTCGAGTAGACTCCCCGTAGTTAGCCGGCGCCGCCCCGACCGTTGCCGTCGCTCGCCGCGTGCTCGCCGCCGTCACCGCTCGAGCTCCGTAGCACCCGCACGTCGCCAGCCTCGCTCGGTGTAGCTCCGTCCAATCCGACGCTAGCATCGAGTTCCCGAAACCGCGTAGATGCTCTCACCGCCGGGAATCGACCCCTCGTGGCCTCGCCGCCGTTTCCCTCTTCCCTCCCCGCCGGTTGTCGCCGCCGTGATTCGCCGCCGTCAAGCTTCCTCCGGCAAATCCGAGCCGTTGGCTCGTCTCCCCTCATCACGAGCAACCGCCCGGTGTGCTAGCTTTTGCCCGTATCGCCGTGGTTCGCTCCGCCGCTCGCCGCTGCCGCCCGCCGTCCATTCGTGGCCGGGTCTTCGTCTACCTCCCGCCGGCCCGCGTGGCAGCCACGTAGGCGCCACGTCGGCGCCAGCTCAGCCTAGACCGGGTCGAGCCAACCCCGGTCAGTCCCTCCCCGTGCGCGCGTTCCACCGCGAGCCGTGAGGCTGCGCGTGGGCCCGCTGCATCCGCGTCCACCGCGAACCGCGCGCGTGCACCGCGTCCCTCCCCCGCCCGCGCGCATGAGCCGCGTACTCCCTCCGCACGGTGAGCCGAGCCGCTGACAAGCGGGTCCCACCCGGGACCGCGCATGGTGAGCCCGGTCCACCGGCTCTCTCTCCTCCCTCCCCCGCGCGCGCGTCTTGGGCCGCTGTGGGCCGCCTTCTTGGGCCGGCCAGCCCGTTAAGCTCGGCCGAGCCGCCCTTTTTCTCGGGCCGCGCCCTAGCCGCCCGAGGGAAGTCTATATTCCCTCCCTCTCCCCTTTTCTTTTCTTTTTCTTTTCCAAAAAAAAGGGATTTAATTAAATCCTTTTCCTTTAGACCAAAAATCCAATAATCTTAGAAATTCAATATCTTCCCAACCGTAAATCCGTTTGACTCCGTTCAAATTCCAAAATTTCTCAAATCTCGAGATCTATCTAATGGCACGCTTAGAGTTCATTAATAGGGCTTTATTTTCGCCGTTTGTTGAGTTGTCCCGTTTTGCGTATAGTTTCGGAGCCCGAAGACCCGCAGTGCGAGGATTTCGAGGATCAAGCTCCAGATCTCGAGCAAGGCAAGCCACCTTTGAACATCTTGAGCCTATATTTGAAATCTAATTATATTGCTTGCAAAATATTATGCATTGATAGGATTGCACTTAATCTGTTGTTCCGTCTGCAAGGCAGATTGGTAGACCTACCTAACTTGTTGCATTTGATTCTTCCATTGTTAATTGCTATACCATGTCCCCTTGTAACCATCCAGTTGCGCCTCGATATTCGTGCACCCTGTGCCAGTATCGACGGTTGCCCTCAAACTTAAAATCTGAGTAACAACTTGGGTAAAACTGGAGTTTTACAAAATACTTGGAAAACCCGACACCTGGGTCGGTGCTTGCGAACTAAATGAATTTCCAAAACCGCGGACCGGGAAACGTACCGGGTGTACGGTTTCCCGCTCTCGCACTTAAGGACCGATTCCTTGGAATTTCATCCAAACATAAGACAAGTACGACCACATGGGTGGAATGGGACACCCCTGGCTGAGTAACTAGCTTATCAGGGGAGCCTTGATGCCGAGAGACATGTGGATTTGCCGGGGTGGTGTCGGGGAGGACCCCTGGGCTTCCTGGCACAGTATGGTCTGGGACCTAACCTGTTGTTGGTCTGGGACCCCTCTCGTCGACATATGGTAAACCTGTGTCGGCTTTGGAAATGCCTTGTCATGAAAGCTTGGAGGTCTCCCGACGTGGCTGATCCCCACGGGCTGGGTGATCCGGGTTAGTAATGTCGTGTGGGTAAAGTGTACCCCCTCTGCAGAGGTTAACAAACTGTTCGAACAGCCGTGCCCACGGTCATGGGCGGATGTGAGGTGATTCCTAGCGTAGTTTGGTTTGACTACTGCTTGTGAAATTGCTGTGTGAAAAGGGGTTCGGTGTTTGAAAAATCTACAGCTGATGGGATCAGCTAGGCCCGGGTGGCCGTTTGAAAAGTTGTTGGCCCGGGTGGCCGTTGAAAAAGCTGTTGGCCGGGTGCCAACCTTGTTTAAATTCTAAAGACTGATACATTGCACATACTCCGACCGGACGAGACGCACTGTCTCATCCGTGTCGTTTGAGAAGCACTCACTTAGTTGTTTCAGAAAAGAGTTCAATTAAAATTAATTGCAAAAACACCAGCCTTTCCTTGAAGCCTGCATTAAACACTTATTTCCCATGGCTTGCTGAGTACTCCCGTACTCACCCTTGCTCTATATAAATAATCCCCCCCAGTTGCTGAAGAAGATGAAGCGGATCCTGCTGATGAGGAGTTCTTCCAGGAGCAAGCCGGCTATGATGAGTTTTAGGGTTTCGGCCTAGTTCCCAAGTCGCGCCTGTGTTGATTGGTCCAAGTCCTGGCTTCCGCTTTCCTTTTGTAATGCAGTTGTGAGCTCGGGATCTGTCCGCAGCCCAGCATGACTGTACATCTACTCTATAATAAAGAGACCTCTGTTGCTGTGATATTCTGTCTCCCTGTGATACCAGCACTGTTTCCTAGGACTGGTATCGATTAACAGGTTAATTTGGAGCGTCACGGACTAGTTCCGGTCGGGACTAGTTCGGGGCGCGACAATTATCTTAAAAAAAAGGAATTAGTTTCTCATCATATTTTTTTCCTTCTACAGTGGCTCTCCTATGACTTGTGTAGCTAATAGTATCCTTTGCGGTGATTTACAACTCACACATATTAGCGATGGTATTAATTAAATTTTCTCCGATCATAAAAGTATGCTCCAAACATGTGCATTGGTGGCCATTCCAGTTAAACAGGTGAAGTGGAAATCATCCCAATTAACATACTTACTGTAGTGTCATTTCTGAGTTTTTCCAAGGCATAATTGAGCGAGGATAATCCTGATTTTATATATATAGCTAGCTTGCTTCGGTGTACCGCCGAGGCAAACCTCTTGAAGAGACAAAGATTGCAGTTTCGGTGCATGAATAATGGATGTTAATCTGTTAGATATGATGATCCAATAATAACGTACACCGAAACTGTGTATGGTTCAATTATAGTTGAAATGGAGCCCCACACACAATATAGTACTCCTTCCGTTTCTAAATATTTGACGCCGCTGACTTTTTAAAATATATTTACTCATTCATCTTATTCAAAAAATTTAAGTAATTATTAATTCTTTTCCTATCATTTGATTTATTGTTAAATATACTTATATATATACATATAGTTTTACATATTTCACAAAAGTTTTTGAATAAAACGAATGATCGAACATGTGTTAAAAAGTCAACGGTGTTAAATATTTAGAAAACGGAGAGAGTATTGTAGCAAAGAGCCAAACAGTTGTAATTTCTCTGGGAATAATCAATGGATGTGTGAATGTCTACTTCAGTACTATTCAGAGATTTCTGGCCTTTCGATCGATAATGACTAGCCATGTGAGCCGACTGATCCAATTCATCGTCTACAACTAGCTAGCGCCGGCCACTGCAGCTAAATAGCTCCACGTGCAGGATGTGACGTACTCCACAAATAATTGGTCTTCTCATGCTCCTATTTAAATAAACAATAAGTTTCTTTAGAGAGCACCCAAGAATATGCTTTAATTGGCACTGATATTTATTGAAATGATGAATTATTTACCGAAAAGTACCGGTGGTACGATTAAATCTCATATTGTGGATTCATGATTTATCAATATCCGTGTGCAATTCACCTATGAGATTTAAATTGTAATGCACACGGATATTATATACTTACACACGAATAATGTTTTCCTTTTTTTTCCAAAAAAAAGAGCAGATTAGTAAAATTCTGTTTCTTACCTTTGACATAATCACGCGTATCATCTACTACATCATTTTTTAATATATGACACCGTTCACTTTTTGATAAGCGTTTGTCTATTCATCTTATTTATTTTTTTTGTAAATATATAAAAAAATAAGTTATGCTTAACGAACATATAACGATAAATCAAGTCGCGATAAAATAAATAAATAATAAGTTCATAATTTTTTAAAACAAATAAAATGAATGATTAAATGTATCTTTAAAAAGTCAATGCTATTATATATTAAAAAGCTACATAGGAGTATCTATCTACATATTTCTCCAGTCTTATAAAAGACCAATCTAGTATTGGATGTAGTATATGTAATACATTCTAGTCATACGAATCTAGATATACTTATGTTCAGATTTCGTTATACTAGGATGTGTCACGTTTAGTTTTAGTTTGTATTTTATGGGACGGATGGAGTATATGATATGATAGTAGTGTATATCTGTCCTATATTTATGGGACAGATGAAGTATATGATATGATAGGAGTGTATATCTGCCCTATATATGATCGATCGATTCCCTGTAGCTGATAACGATCGATGAAACTGTATGCGAGATATCACATGAGATTGATGAGCAGTGAGGACGGCTAGAGATAGCTTAGCTTAGCTTAACTAGTTAGATATAGATAGATAGATATAGTTAGTTGCAGCTGGAGACGGATGAGCATGAGCATATGCGTTGCAACATTGCTGACGCCATAGACGACCACGCACGAGCCCATGCCGAGTCATGCCGGACGCGAGGAATAACGAATCACCCGATTGGCCTTCCGATTCTACCCCTGGTGACCCCGAAGAATTACAAACATTTGCCACTCCGCGCCACGTCACGCTAACTGACAAGGTCGCTCGTGCATATAAGTGGCCCTTCCCTCCGCTGCTCCGGAGGATCGATCGATCGATGAGCACTCGCTTTGATTCGATCAATCGATTGATCGAGCTATAGGTAGCCAATTACAAGCTAATTAAAGCAGTAACCGTATTAGATCGTCGATGGAGATGACGATGTCGTCGGCGGCGACGTCGCTGCCGCCGGGGTTCCGGTTCCACCCGACGGACGAGGAGCTGATCCTGCACTACCTCCGCAGCCGCGCCACCGCCGGGCAGTGCCCCGTCCCCATCATCGCCGACGTCGACATCTACAAGTTCGATCCATGGGACCTGCCATGTAAGCCTTCTTCCTCGATCATATCGATGGATCGATTGAGTTGGTCGTTCGGTCAATTGCTACTGGTTAATTAATTGCAGCGAAGGCGGTGTACGGGGAGAGTGAGTGGTATTTCTTCAGCCCGCGAGACCGCAAGTACCCCAACGGAATCCGGCCGAACCGCGCCGCCGGGTCGGGGTACTGGAAGGCGACGGGAACCGACAAGCCCATCCACGACAGCGCCACCGGCGAGAGCGTCGGCGTCAAGAAGGCCCTCGTCTTCTACCGCGGCCGCCCTCCCAAGGGCACCAAGACCAGCTGGATCATGCACGAGTACCGCCTCGCCGCCGACCCTCTCGCCGCCGCCGCAAACACCTACAAGCCCTCCTCCTCCTCCCGATTCCGCAACGTCTCCATGAGGGTATGTACCTACTCATACGCCATCGCCAATTCGCCATGACCACCATCTCTGAGCTTAACTACTAACTGCATATCCATCCATCTCCTCATGCCACTTGCGTGCTCTCATCCTGTTGCACCACTACTAATTGAACTACTGTACTCTTCTTCTAGGATATTGTAATTTAATCAGATGATTGGACTGACGTACGCTTATTAACTTTTTTTTAATGAACTACTAGCATCACTCAATCATTAATTCACTCGCTACTGTTAGTACCACATCATGAAACCGTGGATGGTACGTAACAAGAGAGATACTCCTTTCTCTTTTCACTTGCTGTTAATTTAATTTAATTTCAGAGTATAATAATTATACCGAGAGAAGAATAGAGATATCCATTAGCCTTGTCCTGGCGCCATGCATGCATGTGTGGTTATTATCGATTTAAAGTATGTAGCTTTTGACAATGATAGGCATGACATTTTTGTGCTCATCGATCCATCTGCTTAATTACGTGCAGCTGGACGACTGGGTGCTCTGCCGGATCTACAAGAAGTCCGGCCAGGCGTCGCCGATGATGCCGCCGCTCGCCGCCGACTACGACCACGACGAGCCGTCCGGAGTCCTTGACGACGCCTACAGCTTCTACGCGCCGCCGATGATCAGCACCACGCTCATCCCCAAGCTCCCCAAGATCCCCTCCATCTCCGAGCTCTTCGACGAGCACGCGCTCGCCCAGATCTTCGACGCCGCCGCCGACCCGCCGGCCGACCACCATCAGCATGCCCTCGCCGTCCACCCCTCCCTGAACCAGCTCCTCGGCGTCGGCGACAACTTCCTCGCGGAGTGCTACCCGTCGACGGCGTCCACGGCCACCGTTGCCGGCGGCAAGCGCAAGGCGAGCCCGGCCGGAGACTACGCCGGCGGCGGCCACACGCCGGCGAAGAGGCTCAACGGCTCATGCTTCGACGTGGCGCCGCAGTCCGTGGTGGGCGGCTTGCAAGCGACGCCGTCGTCAGTCCTCGCCGGACTCAACCACCAGATGCTTCCTCCTCAGCTATTCTGAATATATTCTTAACTAGCTTAATTAATGGCCATGGAAATCGATCAAACGCAGTCGATCGAATTTACGGATGCTACGTACTGGCATGAACAATCTTGCCGACGATATTAAGATCGGATGGAAGCATGGACGACGATGATGATTGGGGTACGGTATAGAATTATTGTAGTATTGAACAATTAGGCATTTGTATGCGATTTTTTCTCCTACGTATTCATTTCAGGCACAGTGCAAAAGCAAGCTGGAGCCTTGATAGTACTTTACACCGTAGAGAGGGAATGTTGTACAATTAAAGATTACTAGATATACAGAACAATAATACTTTACTGTAGCCAATTGATATACTACTAGTATACAGGATTGTAGAAGATATCAAATGCAATAGATTCTGGCTCTGATCTGGGAAATGGAAATTGCATGGATGTGTTACTTCTTGGCTGAAGTAGGTGTAATATCAATGGAGCATGCATGCAGTCTAACGGCAAACTTTCATCTTCTGTTCTTAAATTAGCAAAGAAGTTGTTTCCAAGTACTATAATCTAGTATAATCTAGGCTAGGCGGCTGTAGATTGAAAAGGACGGATTGGATGGATTATGGATAGAGCACATATAAAGGAGGAATAGATTTACTGGAAACATACTTTTTCAGGAAGAGGCAAAGATGCAGTCTGAGAGACTGAAACTCAAGTCTGAAGATTTTCAACTTATTAACAGTCAGCGTTTTTGTTAAGCTTGCTTATTTACTGTACTCATCATACTTATCAAAAGTAAAAGCTTTCGTCAGCAGCAACCACCACGTCACCGATGACGAAAATACTAAAAGTTGATTGTCGATCACCAATGTTACGGGTGACTTCTGAAGATAGGACCCCGTTGGAATGGTCAAAGACCAACCATTTCACTGCAGGTTCAGGCTTTCAGGGCAGTATATTCGGGTCCAGGTCGGTTAAATTCGCACGGCACTTTACCTCTCAATGTACTTATCATACCCAGGCAGTAGAGTTTTACCTCACGTATCTCTCTCTAGTTTTTACCATTGGACGGACAGAAGAGTTAAACTGTCCCTGTCAGTTTCAGCAAAGGCAAAGTAGCACTGTTAGTTACTGCAATCTCGATGGCTACGGGGCTCTGCGCTGGAGGTGTTCACTCCTGGGCCGTGCTTCGACAGTAATCAAAAGAGCAATACGAGAATTATACTGCGAAAGTAATTTAGATTCCCGTATTGTTGCTGAGGATGAGAGGAGTTTATTCCGTACAAGTGTTGGTGCTGCTAAACTTGTGTTCAATTCAAGTCTGGGCCTCCTAGGGAGAGGAGGGCCCAAACCAAGAGGGAAATTGCCACCGCCGTTGCCGTTCCAGTGCCTGGCGCTGCCACTCACGCGTCTCCGCCGCTCGCAGGCCGCCGCGCCACGCCCGCGCGTCCGCCGATCGTTGCCATCTCTGCCCGCCGCGGGAGAGAGGGAGCGGCGAGGAGGGAGGGGAGAGAGAGATGGGACACGTGGGTCCCACAATTTCTTTTCTGTCAATGACAAATGGGTCCCACACATATTTTTTAATTGTAAATGCCACCTCAACGCCACGTGTAAAGGAGACCCGGTCAATACCGCCACATAGGCGCCACGTCAGCAAAACCACCCTCTAAAACCGCTAAGGGAGTCAAATTGCACCGGTTTTAAGATTTGGGGGGTCGAGATATCCGGTTTTGTGGTTTAGGGTCATGGATTAGATTTCGATCACTTTTGAGGGTCACTAAGTGAACTTATTCCATTGTCACGTCCGATGCTTGTGTTGGGCTCTAAAAGTCTAAATGAGCCCTTAGATGGGCTCGGGTTATGCGTAGGAGGGCCTAATAGGGAGTTGTCAAGCATAGGCCCAATACGGAGTTGTAGGTTCTAGGCCCAATAGACGATCAGGCTTCCTACGGGCAGGCGTCGCCGCGTCGGCATGCGGTATACGAAGTAGTCGCGCGGTCGTCGGAGCGACAGTAGGGTTCGGACCGCACGTTGACAGAGGGGAGGAGGGCGTCGCCGGCCTCGCAGACGATGGTCGGGAACAGGGCGGGGTTCATGTCGGAGCTGTGCACGAAGACGATGGAGGGATTTGGTGGTGGGTGGGCGAGAGATCTAGAGGGATACATACCTCGATCGATGGTGTTTCCGTTCCTGGTGGTGCCAATTAATGGCGGTGCTACCATTATTGCTGTGGCGGCGGCCGGCGACGGCGATGGTGCTGAGGATGACCCAACCGGAGTCGGGAGTGGAAGGGCGTTCCATCGTAGCTATAGCTAGCTTGGCGTGAGGATTGATGGCAATGGACGGGGAAGTGGGAGATGGAATGGCGGCAGCCGCCGGAAGCAGCGGGGATGGAGGATGAGAGGAATAAGTTCACTTTAGGTCTCTTAATTCGTCGCCCAGTCTGATTTTCATCCTCCGTCTACAAAACCAGATACATCGCATCCCCCAACTTACCAAAACTGTGCAGACGAGGTCCGTTGGTAGTATTGTGCCCGGTTTGAGATGACGTGGCGCCTACATGGTTGGTATGACTAGGTCTCGTCCCAGGTGGCGCTTACGTGGCAATCGGATAAAAAATAATTTTAAAAACTGTGGGACCCACATATCAATTACACACAAAATAATAAAAGAGGGTGGGGCCATCGCCCATCCGGCCATGTCGCTGAGCGGTCGCCTCCAGCAGCCGGCTAGAGCGAGAGCAGCCACCCCCCTCGCCTCCTCGAGGTGGCCGGAGGAGGAGCTCGAGCGGTCGCCGGCGAGCACCATCCATTTTCCGGCGTCGTCGAAGGAGACCACTCCACGCGTTGCTCCGGCAGCGACGTGGGAGCACGGGGTGGGAAGGTGGCGCTGCTGGAGTAGGCGGAGCGGCAGTGGGCGACGGCGGTGGTGCTGCACGAGCAGGGCTGCAACCGCTCATGTCCCAGGTGCACTGAACTGGTCGCCTTCCCAGCCACGAACTCGTCCTTAAATACAGCTACCCGCAATCAATCACCAAGCAGAAGCAGAGCAAGTTTGATTTGCTGTGGCCAATTTTTTATGCCATCTCGACATAGCTGCTGCTCGATTGATTCATATATGGCACTAGCCATTTTCGTCAGCATCGCCGCCGTCGCCAGAGGGAAGAAGGCGCGCGAAGGAGGAGGGGGAGGTGAAGGTCCTGTAGTGGCGGAGCGCCGAGCTAGAGCGGAGGTGGTGGCGTTGTGGTCGGAGCTAGAGTCCGAGCGGTGGCGCGCCGAGCTGAAGCGGCTGTGGCGCTGTGCGTGCAACTCGGGGAGGCGGAGGTGGAGGCCGTGGAGCTCGTGCGAGGGTACCAGTGTTGTGTCCACGAGCTCGCCCGGGAGCTCGTCGCCGCCAAATTAATCGTCTCCACGTCCTCATGAGATGGGATTTTTTCATCTCTTGCGGAGACATTGAAATGTCATCCTAGAGGAGCAGGATGATGCCGCTGGCGTCGGTGTGGGCACATTGGTAGGCCAGTTACATGACGACGACAATCCGCTCCACTCCGCTGTTCGCTGCCGCTTCTCCCGCCCTGCTCTGCCCCGCCGCTCCACCCGCGGCCCCTTTGCCCTCTGCTCCACCCGCCCCGCTTTGCCCCTTTGCTCCGTCCGTCGCCGCTCCGCCCCACCAATCACCCGTTCCGGCCGCTGCCCGCCCTGCTCTACCAGCTTGCTCCGGGAGTCGCCGCTCCGGTCGCCGCCGGCTGGAGAGAGAGACGATACAGAGAAGAGAGGAGAGGGATAGAGAGAAGAGGGAGTAGTGAGGATGACATGTGGGGCCACATGGGCCCCACCATTTTTTAATTTGTTTGTGTGTGAAACTGACATGTGGACCCCACATATTTTATTATTTTTCTAGATGAATTGCCACATAAGCGCCACGTCAATGTCATGTGGGATGAAAACCTAGTCAAAGAAGCCACGTAGGCCAAAACCAAGGACAATACTGCTGAGAGACCTTGTTTGCACGGTTTTATAGGTTGAGGGATGCGTTGTACCCGTTTTGTGTTTCAGGGATGAATTTTAGACACGACAACAAATTGAGGGACCTAAAGTGAACTTATTCAAGGATGAGACACCACCACGGGGAATGGCCCAAATACCACCTGCCTGGGCCCCGTCTCTCTCCTCTTGTGTGCGTGCAGGCCCAAACCCAAAGAATTCCTTGATGCCGGAGCGAATGAATTTGTGGTCAGGGAAACTATCTTTGATCACTGCATGGGATATCCTATTTGCATGTTACTTAACTGTTATGAAAAAATTTGAGAAGATATATCAATATGTGATATAACACTCCACAAGCTTACAAGTTCAAATTCATATCTATATCTCATAACGAAAAAACAAATTAAACCGCAGCTTGTTAACGTATATTTACAATTAAATTTGTTTTTTCCGTTACAAGATATAGAAGTTAAATTTGAACTTACGGAGTGATATATCACATGTTAATATATCTTTTCAAATTTTTTTATAACCATTTGACTGACATAAAGACAAGACAACGAGGGTTATCCCCTCACGAATCAAAATCAACATCCTTTGTGGTCATGTAATAGTTGAAAGTTGAAAGGTGTGACGCCAGGTGTCTGTCGTGGATCATTTAACCGGTGCCTTGACAGAGAAGAGACTACCCACCCGGTGACCCCGTGGGGGCAACGGGGACTTGGCTGCGGAAACGACAAGTTTCTCAAATTTTCTTTCCTAAAAAATATCACATTGAATATTTAGACATATGTATGAAGTATTAAATATAGATAAATAAAAAAACTAATTGCACAGTTAGAGAGGAAATCGCGAGACAAATCTTTTAAGTCTAATTAGTCCATGATTAGCCATAAGTGCTACAGTAACCCACATAAGTTAATGACGGGTTAATTAGGCTCAAAAGATTCGTCTCGCGGTTTCCAGGCGAGTTATGAAATTAGTTTTTTCATTCGTATCCAAAAAACCCTTCCGTTATTCGGTCAAACATCCGATGTAACACTAAAAAATTTCTTTTCGCGAACTAAACAGGCCCTATGTACTCCAGAAGATGACATGACACGACACGGTGGGTGTGGTCTCATCGATCGGCACCACGTACGCGGCCTCGGTCTCAACGAACGAACGTCTCGCCGGCCGGCCTCCAGCTTAATTTGTTCTATATAACCCGGGAGGTGCCATTTGCAACGATCGAATACCAGCGAGACAACCAGACGCCGGCCCTTGGAAGCTAGCTAGCATGTTCAGCCACCATGGGCACGGCCACGGCCAATACCAGCCTCCGGCGACTGGTCCCCAGCACGAGCCGACGTTCAAGATCTTCTGCCGCGCCGACGAGGGGTACTGCCTTACCGTCCGCCACGACGCCGTCGTCCTCGCGCCAACCAACCCCCGCGACGACTGCCAGGCACCACCACCATAATATTTTCTTCTTCTGCTATGCTATGTGGCTCTGTGCTCATCTCTTAATTACTAGCTTCTCTCTAATCCGGACCATGGCATGCAGCACTGGTACAAGGACATGCGGCACAGCACGAGGGTGAAGGACGAGGAGGGCCACCCGGCGTTCGCGCTCGTCAATCGCGCCACCGGCCTCGCCGTCAAGCACTCGCTCGGCCAATCCCACCCCGTATGTCAATCACCATTAGTTCATCCACGCATGCAGTCTTCGCGCGCCATCTTAACTGTTTTACATGCATGATCGATCGACGCTCCTGTCCTGATGCAGGTGAAGCTGGTGCCGTACAACCCAGAGTACCAGGACGAGTCGGTGCTGTGGACCGAGAGCAAGGACGTCGGCCATGGCTTCCGCTGCATCCGCATGGTCAACAACATCTACCTCAACTTGGACGCCTTCCACGGCGACAAGTCCCACGGCGGCGTGCACGACGGCACCACCGTCGTGCTCTGGGAGTGGTGCAAGGGCGACAACCAGTGCTGGAAGATCCTCCCCTGGGGCCCCGAGGCGTACGCGCCGCCGCCGCCGCCAGCATACGGGCACCAGGCATACCCGCCGCCGCCGCCCAACCGTGAACCTGGCCACGGCTACCACCCCGCACCTGCGTTCTACCCGCCGCAGCCGCCACCGAGCCACGATGAGCCGGGCTACGGCTACCGTCCACCGCCGGTCGGACCACCCGGTGCAGGGTACGGCAACCGGCTGCCCCGCGCGCTGGCGTCGGAGCCCACCGTGCGCATCCTGTGCAGGGCCGACGAGGCGTACAGCCTCACCGTCAGGAACGGCGCCGTCTGCCTTGCACCAACCAATCCCAGGGATGACTTCCAGGTTATTTCCGTTGCATACAATTCCATCTCAAATTCTTAACACCGATAGATCAACTCCATCGTGATCTTGTCTAACTATTCTAATCATGTTCAAATCCGATTTGCAGCACTGGGTGAAGGACATGAGGCACAGCACGAGCATCAAGGACGAGGAAGGCTACCCGGCGTTCGCGCTGGTGAACAAGGCCACCGGGGAAGCCATCAAGCACTCCCTCGGACAGAGCCACCCTGTATGTACATACATACATACATACATCTTCTTCATTAGATAATTAATTCAGTCTGTTTCATATATGTCAAAAAATCAGTCAACGTAGTGGTTGGAGCGTCGTAGTAGTAGCAATCAACGCTTACGATTTCTGGAATGGCGTCACATGATGTGAATTTGTCGCAAAACCACTACTACACTAGTAGTTGATGATCTGACACGTTCGTCTGCACGCAGGTTAGGCTGGTGCCATACAACCCGGAGTACCTGGACGAGTCGGTGCTGTGGACGGAGAGCAAGGACGTCGGCCATGGCTTCCGCTGCGTCCGCATGGTGAACAACATCTACCTCAACTTTGACGCCTTCCATGGCGACAAGGACCACGGCGGCGTCCACGACGGCACCACCGTCGTGCTCTGGGAGTGGTGTAAGGGCGACAACCAGCGCTGGAAGATCCTCCCCTGGTGTAAGTAATTATCACCGATATATAGCTTAATTAGTCAGAATCTTTCAACTGACATTGTTTGGTTTTGTTCCTTCTGACGCAGAAATCGAGAGACCGTCAACAAAAGCATCGATCGATCCGTCACCTGTGCTTGCATTTGGCACTGTTCGAGTTCGACCATGCATGCATGTCGTGTTACTGTTGCGTGTCCTGTGTTTATGTCACTGCAGAATAAATCAGGGTCTCGCTGTCAGCAGAGATCAGATGACCCCCTCCCTGCTATTTGGTGTGGATCCATGCGTATATGCGCATCTTTTGTACGAAGTTCTACTAGTTCATGTCATGAGATGCCTGTCTACTCTGCCCAGTTTGCTTCTGGCGAGATGAGTACTGCTCCGGTTTGATACTCTACTACAGTACTATGCGGTTGATCTATGTTTGGTACATCTGCTTCGACGACTCAATTATGACAAATGGTTAATCCCAATGACACCACACCTAATACCCGCGATTAATTCCGCTAGCTATAAAAGGCCGTGAGTAATTAAGTCAACACTGAAGATTATTGTCATATTATTGCACAGAGCAGGTTTGTTAAGATCGTTGTGATCATAAAATTAAATCAAAATTTCCGTGTAACAACGCCGCTCTTCGCGCCTTCCTCACCAGCTGCTCCAGGCCACTCCCTCCTGCGCTCCTCCCGCCGCCTTTGCCGCTGCCGCCTCTCGCCGCCAAGGCGGTGGAGGTTGTGCCGAAGTGCAGTGAGCGTATCGCTGCTAAGATGGCACTTGAGGCGCTTGAGGGGCCGATCCACGCAGTGTCGCGCGCCCAGCGCAACCTGATGCGGAAGCTCGGCCTAGTTCCGGAGAGGGGCCCGGTCACGGCCGAGGCGATCGCGGCTTACAACGCCCTCTTCTCCAAGCCACTTTCCCAGGAGCACATCATCGCGCTCTCCTCGCTCTTCTCCGGCTCCTTGCCCCCGGGCAAGGCTGCGGAGGCGTTGGTCGTGTGCGGCTGATCGGTTTCTTCTCTTCTACTCTCGGTGTGGTCCCCCTCAATGGGATCATGCAATGAGAACGTTTTGGTGTGGAACGTGCGAGGTCTGAACTCGCGTGCCCGCCCGGATGCTGTGCGTGATGTAGTCCGTGATGAGCATGTCTCTCTTCTCTGTCTTCAGGAGACTATTATGGATGTAATCCCCTCTCGTACTATTCTGGAAATGCTAGGCCTCGACTTTGATTATTCCTTCTTGTCTGCGGTCGGTCGGAGTGGGGGGTGTTGCTTGCCTGGCGGACGACTGTCTGGTCTGTCTCAGATGTTCACCTTGCGGATTTCTCTCTTACCGCGTTGGTTCGACACTCTTCTGATGTCGCCCCCTGGTGGCTCTCCATCGTCTATGGGCCACAGGAGGAGCCTTACAAACTTCGTTTCTTAGATGAGCTTCGTTCGCTGCGCTCCTCTCGCACGGGGCCGTGGGCCGTCGTAGGCGATTTCAACCTCATTCTCGAAGCTCGGGATAAAAACAACCTTAATCTCAATCGTCGTATGATGGGTCGTTTTCGTCGACTCGTCGACGAGTTGGAACTCCAGGAGCTGCTGCTTCACGGACGTCGCTTCACTTGGAGCAATGAGCGCGAGTCGCCTACGCTTGTTAAGCTCGACCGCGTCCTCTTCTCTGCGGATTGGGAGGAGCTTTTCCCCTCTTGCCTCCTCCAAGCGGCCTCTTCTATCACCTCTGATCACTGTGCTCTTCTCCTTCATACCTGCGTCACCTCCCCGAAAGCGCATCGTTTTCGTTTTGAGGCCTTTTGGCCCAAGTTCGACGGCTTTCTTCAAGTCGTGCAGGACGCCTGGCATCCCCCTACCAACCTACCCCCTCTTGCTGCTCTTCCCTGGTGCTTCTCTACCACGGCCAAGCGCTTACAGAGCTGGAGTGAACATCACATTGGCAGTGTTCGTCTGCAGCTTCAGATGGCGAAGGAACTTGTCTTCCGGCTTGATGTTGCGCAGGAGAGTCGGTCTCTTTCCCCCTTGGAGACCTGGCTGTGGCGAGATTTAAAGTTGAAGTGTCTTGGTCTTGCCTCGCTTGAGCGTACTATCGCGCGTCAACGTTCACGTTTGGTCTGGCTTAAGGAGGGTGACGCCAATACCAAGTTCTTCCACCTGCACGCCAGAGCTCGTAGGCGGAAGAACTTCATCACGCGCCTTCGTGATGGTGACCAGCTTGTCGTCTCCCATGATGCGCTGCAAGAGCTTGCCTCCTCTCACTTTTGCGCCATCTTGGGGACGAGCTTCGAGCGTGAACTCGCCCTAGACCTCCACTCTCTTGGCCTCCGCCCTGCGCAGCTTGAGGGGCTGGACTGTCCCTTCACAGAGGATGAGGTCTGGGCGGTGATCAAGTCCTTGCCCTCTGATAAGGCGCCCAGTCCTGACGGTTTTACGGGCCGTTTCTACAAGTCTTGCTGGCCGGTGATCAAGGTCGAAATTCTGGCGGCCCTTAACTCCTTGTTCCTGACCAACGGCCAAGGTTTTGCTTCCCTCAACGACGCCCTAATCTCCCTCTTGCCGAAGAAGGACGAGGCTGTTGATGTTAAGGATTTCAGGCCGATTAGCATTATTCACAGCTTTGGGAAGCTGTTCTCCAAGATCTTGGCCTCTCGTCTCTCCCCTCGCCTGGACGAGCTTGTGGCGCCTAACCAGAGCGCTTTCATCAAGGGCCGCTCTCTCCATGACAACTTCCGCTATGTCCAGATTGAGGCAAGGGCGCTCCACGCCAAACGCGTTCCCCGACTTCTTCTCAAGGTGGATATCGCGAAGGCCTTTGACATGGTCAGCTAGCCTTTCTTGCTTGAGGTGCTAGCCCAGCTTGGCTTCAGTCAACGTTGGCGTGATTGGATCTCCCTCATTCTCAGTGCCTCCTCTTCCCGGGTACTGGTTAATGGGGTGCCAGGTCCATGGTTCCCCCATCGGAGAGGTCTTTGCCAAGGAGATCCTCTTTCCCCCATGCTTTTCATTCTAGTCATGGATGTGCTCAATGCGATGCTCCGCAAAGCCTCTGATTCGGGTGGTTTTCTTCCCCTCAATGACCGTGCTATTCGACATCGTGCATCCCTCTACGCCGATGATCTAGTTCTCTTCCTTTCCCCCGTTCGGCAAGACCTTGAGTTCATCCAAGGCATCCTCTCTGTCTTCGGTGCCGCTTCCGGGCTTCGGACCAACTTCACCAAGTGCTCGGTTACTCCGATCCGCTGCTCGGTTCTTGACCTGGAGCTGGTTCAGTCCTCTTTTCCTTGCTCGATCTCGGAGTTTCCCTGCACCTACCTCGGCATTCCACTGTCAGTTCGCAAGCTGCCAAAAGCGGCCCTGCAACTGCTTGTGGATAAAGTCTCCCATCGGCTCCCCCCCTGGAAGGGCCGTCTAACCACTCTGGCGGGTCGCTCGGTTCTAGTCTAGTCGGTTCTCCGTTTCTATGGCGATCGGCTTGCCAAGCTGGGTTATCAAAGCCATTGACAAGAAGCGTCGCGCCTTCTTGTGGATGGGTACAGACTCGGCCAATGGGGGACAGTGCCGGGTGTCCTGGACGAGGGTTTGTCGTCCTAGGGATCTCGGTGGACTGGGCATTCCGGATCTCAGGGTGGCTGGCTTTGCCTTGAGAGTTCGCTGGCTCTGGCTTCAGCGCTCGGGACACCCCTACTGGTCTGATCTGAAGGCCCCTATTGAGTGGAGTGTCTCCGACATGTTCGCAGCATCCACCTTCTCTATCCTGGGAGATGGTCAGTCCACGCTCTTCTGGACTGATCGGTGGATCGATGGTCGCTCGATAGCTTCTATAGCTCCTGACCTCCTCCACGCCGTGCCTCCACGCTTCCGGGGATCGCGCACAGTTACTGCTGGGTTAGCGAACAACTCCTGGGTTGGTGACATACGTGGCGCCCTCACTGTCCCAGTCATCTCTCAGTTCCTGTTAGTCTGGGACGCGGTGCTTCCTACCCAGCTCTCGCCGGGTGTTGAGGATCACCTCGTCTGGCGTTGGACGGGTGACCAGTGCTACTCAGCGCGATCGGCGTATCAGGCGTTCTTCCTTGGCCAACACTCTTTTGCCTGTGCCGACTTACTCTGGCACGCGAAGGGCCCTGCTAAATGCAAGTTCTTCCTTTGGTTTGCATTTCAGCAGCGCTGTTGGACTGCCGATCTTCTCCAAAAGCGTGGTATCGATAGCCACTCTGCTTGCCCCTTTTGTGCTCAGGAGCTTGAGACAGCGAACCACATCCTCATTGATTGCGTGTTCGCTCGGCAGGTCTGGCTCCGTGTGTTGTCCCCTCCTGGCTGGGCTGCCCTCTCTCCCCCTCGTGGCAGTTGGCTCCAGGATTGGTGGTCATCCTCCAGGGTATATTTACCTGAGCACCTCCGCAGCGGCTTCGACTCCTTGGTACTCCTAGTCTCCTGGCAGCTGTGGAAGGAACGAAACTCCAGGGTTTTCGACTCTGTGCTCGCTTCGGTTGCAGTGGTTCTGGAGTCCATCCGCTCGGAGGGCCAGCTGTGGTCTTTAGCTAGTGTTACTTTTTTTGGGGTTTTCTTGGAAATGTAGCGTGGCTCTGCCCCCTCCCGCTGTTTGGAGTTGTGTTTTTAACCGTCGTAGTAGTTCCTAGCTTCAAGTCCCCCCCCCCTTTTAGGCATAAGCCAGTCTGGCTGATTGTTTTGTGTAACAAAAACTCTTTTCCTGCTAATATACTGACGTGCAATCCTTTTGCGCGTTCGCAAAAAAATTTCCGTGTAAGGCCATAATCATAAAATTGTATATATACATAAAAATTGTAAAAATCGTAAAATCAGCTAACTAAAATTTTATAACAGAATCGAGATTTCAGATTAAGGGCTTGCAAAAGTCCGAGTCTAATGTTGTTGTTAAGAACTACTACTCCTAAGGACTAGAGACTTCTAGGTTGCCATCAAGTCAGCCCATCGTCAGTACTCTGCAGGTACACTACCGTTTGTTCGCATGCCGATGGGTCCAATTCAATTCTTATCTTGGAAAAATGCAGATTGGTCTAACTCTTAACTCCCAAGCGTCCAAGTCTTACATCACGGACGAAATTAACAATGTAGTGCTGTTTTTTCAACAAGGCCGAACAGCTAAACATGAAGAAAAAAAATGATGAACTGCTCGTCCTCTTATATATAGGATTGGCAATGCACTTTTGGGTGTGAGATGCACACGCAACACAATCAGATTTAGTCAAAGAGCAGTTGAGCAAACCTACGTTAATTATCTCCATATGTGCACCAAAAACCGTCCAAACTAAGCAAACAGTTTGGATTGAGAAGCTGATGTATCAAGTACAGACGAACAATCTGCATCTTCTCTTTGGAAGAGTAGACTAGTACTAGAGTATAGACGGAGACAAGAAGCAAGGTTCCAAACGGGCCAAAATTAGTGAAAAGTG